GATGGGCTCAAGTATAGCAGGGATTGCGGGGCTGGCGTGGGATCGGGCAGTGTTTCGTTCTGCTGTGCATGGAGTCGCTATGAGTCGGAAATGACTCGACGGCACTTAACAACAACAACAACAACAAATGAGTAGCTCCTCATTGCTAAAGTTATCCACCTAGGGTATTTCTGTTGAACCAGCACGAAGCAATCTTCTGGGAAGTTCACTCTCTCTCAGGTATATAGAATTCTGATGTTGGGAATGGTTAGTTTGGTTATTCTGCCAAACTCTGCCTCCTGGTGGCAGAAGGAGTCTCTCTCACTGCTGGCTGAGAAAGACATGCTGCTGAGAGAAACGCACTCCTGAGAGACACGCACTTGCTGAGAGAGAGATGCGAGAGACACATGCTGCTGAGCAAGAGACTAGAGAGACACATGCTGCTGAGAGAGACACCGAGAGACATGCACTGCTGGAAGAGAGACTGTGAGAGACTGTCGGCTGAGAGATGGTGGGCTGAGAGAGACTGTGTGTGTTCCTGAACTTGAATTATAGCCTGTTGCTTCCCAAATAAACCCAATAATCTGTGAGTTCTGTGTGGCCACTGCAGGAAATTTTCAAACCCAGCAAAGAGGTGGTGGGTGCTGTAGGAGAAACAGTTGGTGTCAGGGTTGACGAAAGGGGTAGAGGGGGACAGCATGTCTGGACTTGCAGGGATAGGCCTTGGGCTACTGATGGTGATTCTGTCTTCTTCTTGTGAGGTTAGAGGAGGTCAGAAGATGTGGCCTCCTTGCCTGTTTGGCACCTACTTTGGTCATGTTATCAGAAGGAAACATTTCCTGTAGAAAGATTTCATGTTTGGTAAAGTAGAGGGTCAGTGAAAAGGGAAAGACCCTCAATGAGATGGATTGACACACAAGGATTGTAATGATGGCACAAGACCAGGCAGTGTTTTGTTCTGCTGTACATTGGGTCACTATGAGTTGGCACCAACTTGCTGGCACCTACCAAAACAACTCCAAGTTGGGTGATTTTTGCTTTTAGGTATCAGAATAATTTTCTTAGCAAATTTAGAAAGATTTTTAAGAATCCAAATAAATGATGAAAAACAAATATTAGAAGGTAAAATTCATAGTTTAAAAGGTAAGATAAAATCAACACAAGTTTCCTAAGGTACCACACAGCAAATATTTCCAGAGTTCTTAAACTTGGACATTGATATAATTGGGTTTGTTTTCTTGGGAATTTTTGCACAATACTAGATAATTTGACCCAAACTTTGCATTTTCTGGTTCATTAGTAGAAAAACAATACAAAGAAGGCCAAATAAAGGTGTTGGCACCTCATCATAATGTTCCAAAGCTTCCCTTCATATATATTTGAATATTTGTGTAAAGAAAATAAAACAGAGAGAGAGAAAGCAGCCCTGGTGGCACAATGTTAGCACTCAACTGCTAACTGAATGGCCAGCAGTTCAAATCCACCAGCTGTTCTGAAGAAAAAAGATGTGGCAGCCTGCTTTCATAAAGATTTACAGCCTTAAAACCATATAGAGCAGTCCTACTCAGTCCTTTAGGGTTTTTATGAGTTGGAATAGATAAGATGGCAATGAGTTTGGCTTTGGGTTTTGGTTGATATATAGAGAAACTGCATTAAAATTTTTAAACAGGGTATATTTCTCCAAAAGCAGCATCCTTCATCTATTCTTCTCAGTTCCTTGCCTGCCCTCCAGATCTCCCTCTTGTCTCATCCTTACCTCCAGTCATCCTTTGAGAGGTTGATCAAAATATTCATTTCCTCATCCTCTTGCAGAAGACGATAGGCTGCACTTAAATGGTGATTTTCCAGTACAGATCTATCATTGTACAGAATGGCTGGATCAGAGCTGCATAGAAAACCAAGCAAAATTGTTTAGGATGTTAAACAACTGGGCATTTCAGGTAACTTTCCCAAGTTGGAATGTACCACCTCTTTTTCCTATATATGGAAATGATCTTTCCTCCATGCTATTTATATCAACCAAAAAGCTACAACTACAACTAACATGTATGTAGGATATTTTAATGTCAATATGTGGATGTGAACTATGAGATATCCAACCTAAGAACTCTCTGAAAATTGCTTTCTAACTAGATCTCAATTGTCTATACCAGGAGCAAAGGTGATTTTTGAAAAACGCAGGTAACATAAAATTTTCTTGCATTTTCTGGAACATTTTCAACTCTTGATTTTTATCTTATTCAATTGGTTCATTTGTTTATTTGTTTTAGTTGTACTTCTTTGAACATACACTTCATGGTGGGTACAGTCTGCAAGCTCCCTCTCGTAGTAGCTTGATCTTAAAATTTTGCATGCAAAACCCAGATATGGAAAATTGACAGTTAAGAATATAAGGGTCATATAAGACAATTGTCAAGCACTTTCTCAAAGACCATTGTGTAACTGTCACCAAGCACAGGGTTGTATACTATTTTAATATCTGTAATGCAATCCTAGATTATTAGAGGTTATTTATTTCTCAACAAGAAAACTTAGTCCCAGAGATGTAAAGCAACTTCTTAGAGCCCCACAGTGGGTAAGTGGCAGGGATGAGATGAAGGCAAAATTTTCTGCCCATTGGGCCACTGCTCCTGAACTCTACTTTCATCTATCATTGACCAAACTTTGAGATGTATCTAGCATGCCTTTAAATTGTTAGGCTTAATACTTTGTCACACAAAGTACAAAAGGACACGATCACAAACTTAGTTTCTGAACAAGGATCACAAAAGCAAGATACTTTGGATAAAGTCTTATTAAAGAAGGCCAACATTTCAATTTCTTTCCAAGTAAGCTTAATCAACTCCCCTAGAATTACTCTACTCCTATAGATGTAACGGAGTATCAGGATGGTGCAAATGGGTAATACGCTCAGGGCTGCTAACCAAAAGGTTTGAGATTCAGTACCACCAAGAAGTGCCTTGGGAAAGACGTCTGGCAATCGACCTCCAAAAAATCAACCACTAGAATCCTATGGAGAACAGTCTACTCTGATATACAGGGTTGCCATAAGTTGTCTTGACAGAAATTAGATATAACACAAAACCTGAATATCTAGAAATGAAAAATCTGCTATGTCTGTTGAATAGGTAAGATATCATCTGATGAGTATTTTGTAACACTAAGCCATTTTCTTCCTTTGTGATTGCCTTTGGTATTGGCCCACAGCCAGGATCCATCTACAGATGTTCCAACTCTTTACTTCCTTCAGTAGGAGCTAGTACTGCAGTTCTCTATCCTTGGAGCAAAAATTCCACTCACAGATACACACTGAACAAGTTACTCCATGGAATACCCTATAATTAAAGACCTTGGAATAGAACCACAAAAGGCTGCTGAAACTACTCTGTGAAGAGATAAGAGGTAGGAATTGAAGGGAAACCAGCTTAAGTCTTTTTATCTGCTTCTATTCCACTGAAATCCTCCTTCTGAATAGAGGTCAGATTATATTGTCTTCTTTCATGTTCCCCAAAATTAAGTGGTGGGTCCATTTAATAAATGTACATTGATTTACAATCTATTTTGAGTATGGTTCTGCTTTTGCAAGTGAAATCCACAATTATTTAGTGTTAAACTCCTACCTCCTCCTGCTACATGCATTCTCTTTTGCTTACCATCTAACCCAAAGCCCTAGCTTCAATTGACGTCAAGACCCAAATAACTCTACTGTCAGATTCTCCCCAGTTCCACATCATGGTCTTAGGAGAAGGTAATAAGTTCTAAAGCCAGGAACAGGTAGGTAAGATTTCATGCTAAGTGAAAATGACAATTGGTTGGTACTGTTTGCTTGGAATTCTATACTGAGAAGAATACTAAGGATTAATCCACACCTTTGTAAGAAAAAAGATACAATTAGTTAGGTATGTTATGGATCAGTAGGTTTAGTGGAGAACATTTGAACTCATATTTACTATCCCTGACCAAATTTTGCATTTACTTTGCAGTTCATTAGGGAGGACACACAAGTTGCCTATGGTAGAAAAGACCTGCATGAGACAACCTAGCTCCTCAACCTCCCTGCTAGAGAGGGAAGCAACCACTGAACAGAGATGAAATCAAAGCAAATGAGAAGAATATCTCACCAGAACCCCAGAGATCAGAGAGTAAGAAGGCTTAATTAGAGCTGATGTCAAAAGAAACACTCCAATCATTGCCAGTCCTCACTGATTTAACTTAACAATGAATCTGGGCCTTTATGTAAACTGCTTCACATTCTCTTAGAAACAGGTTGAATATACATAACACATTAATATATAAACAAATAGTTAGCCACAGAATAGATAAGGAAAGGACACCCATGTTATGCTTGATTAAAACTTGAGGATTAGGAGCAAATGACTTCCATAAACTAGAAGTCTTCATTGAAGTGGCCCAGGCTGAGTCTCTTGCTTCTAAGTTCATTTTTTCAGAAAGTCAAAAAATAGCAACCACGCAGAAGAAAGGTGACTAATACCTTTCTGACTTCTAAAACTCTATCCCTGCCCCCTCTTGCCTCTTCTCCAAACATGTCAACCTCCTCACCGAGTTTGAATATGGAAATTGTTGGTGGTTCCGGTATGCTCATAGTCATGGATGGCAGCTGAGAAGATGATAGCAAAGATCTCCAGCTCCGTTAGCCAGTTCTGAAAGGGAGATTACAGAGCAATCAGATAATCTGTCTCTTTCTCAGACAGTCTCCAGTTTGCTGACAACACATCCACATCGCTGCCTTTCCACCCTGCAGCTGGCAAGCTATTGCCAAAGACAAGTTTTCTGACAGACAGAAATAACTTGGTTTTTTTCTGTGAAGAGGCAGGAGGACATGTTATTTGAAGCAGCATGCCCAGCAAGGTTGAAAGAGCTAACTAGTAGTCCTGTCTTACTCAAGCAAAAAGATCCTCAGAGGATCCTCTTGCAACTTCCATATAAAGTTCCTAGACAGACAAAGAAGAAAAAAAAGATTAAAAATTTCAACACAGCACTAAGAATCAAGAGAAGCAGAAAGCCTAGTTTTATGGAAGGAATATACACTAGGATGTGGGTAGAGACAAATGGAAAAATAACACAGCCTTCCACCATATGCATGTTGATGTTTGAAGGTACCTGTCCTCATGCGTACCACCAAAATTTGCTGTAGTTTAGTCATTCTCTAAGTGTGTTCCTTGGCCCAGCAGAATTAGCAATCAGCTGGGAGCTTGTTAGCAGGCAATTCTTGGATCCCCAATCCTTATTGAACCAGACACTGTGGCAGACAGACCCAGAAATTGGTGTTTTAACAAGACTTCCAGGTCATTCAAATGCCCACGAGAGTTTGAGGACCATGACCATGCTTAAAACTCCCTTAACTGACTTCTGTTTAATGAATTCTGTAGATTCATAGATGTTTCCCATCCCTCTGTAAACCACACTATCCCAAACCCATGACAGAGTAACCACTCTAGAATACCATTTGGGACCTTCTGATCACTTTTGTTCCTAACTGAGTTGATGCTTACAAGAGTCAGTGTGGTTTATTCCAAATACGGTATTGACAAATTGTACTTGTCATTATAATTATGTCATTAAATATGACATAAACCAATAAAGGAGCATAAAAATGGACCTGTTATTTCTATAAAACTTAAGCTCAATGCTTTGGACAGCCAATAAACAAATATCTATCAAAACGTGTGATAATTTTGAAACAGCAGAAAAAAATTATAAACATTTAGAGAGATTCTGCAGCACTCAGCTTGCTTTACTTTAAAGACCTAAAACTTTATATCTTAGATGGGGTGGGGTTAATGCAGACAAAATGAGGACCCACATCAGTAGAATCCAGAAAAGAAATCTGAGGTGTGACTAAAATACCTTTATATGATTTAAGTTCATACAAAATAGTTAAAATGACCATTTATTGTTTATGATTCCCCATTGTTACTGTTTTTCAATTAATTCCTGATTTTGATCCTCATCTAAGCTGCCTTCTTTGAAGATGGCTAAGGAGAAAATAAACAAATCACATTCAACCTATGAAAAAAGACTTTATAGTTAGGGAAATAATAAGCATAGAAATAACTTAGAAAAAAATACAAACATTTGAAAATGATTTATTGAAGAATCCAGTAAGAATTGTCAAGAAAATCTTTGGCATCCTCAATAATATGCCTCAGAAATATAAACGGATGTACTAAGAGGCAGAAGGACATACAGAGAAAACAGACAGAAGGAAAATCAACAAAATGAGATAAACATGAGTTGAGAAAGAAAGAAAAGCCTGCAAGAAAATTTCAGTTGCAAAACTTACACTGCAAAAAGCCTCATCACCTGGGTTGTCATTTATCGAGGACCTACTATGTAGCAGGTTTTATTCTAAGTGCTTTACATGTATAAACCCATGTAATACTTGCAGTTCCATCAAGATGGTACTATTGTTACCCCTCATTTTACAAATGAAAAAACTGAAGAGCTTGAGTAACTTGCTCAAGGTCATGCAGCTAGTTGTGCGACAGTCATACAGTATGACTCCAGTTCCTATTCACCATCTTTAAATTTATTCATGTTGGATCATTGGCAGCATGTTCATTAAACTTGGCATAATTATATAAATATAATTTTATATTTATATTTTCATGACGTTATCCACATATATTTACATAAATGTTGTTGTTGTTGTTATGTGCCATCAAGTTGGACCTGACTCATAGCGACCCCTCCTTGGGTTTCCGAGGCAGTATCACTATGTAAGTAGATTGCCCAACCTTCCTTCCGAGATAATCAGTGACTCAGGTTTGTTTAGATGATACACCGTCTCCCTTTCATAATCTTAATTTTAAATGTTAAGTTAACTTTGCATGAGCTTGGAGAAAGCAATTGATGGGGAGAGGAAGGTAGAGGGAGTCAGGGTAAAATGGGTAGGGACTGGGTACTAGGGAAGAAAAGAAAGACATTACCATACTCAAAAATGTATATATTTACATACATATATTTACACACATACATATATTCACATATATACAAATATATTTACATGCATACATATATACATATACATATGTATACATATATATTTATACACAGATATATTTACATATATATATAAATACATATATATATTTTAAAGTATGGTAATGTCTTTCTTCTCTTCTCTAGTACCCAGTCCCTACCCATTTCACCCTGACTCCCTCTACCCTCCTTTTCCCATCAATTGCTTTCTCCAAGCTCATGCAAAGTTAACTTAATATTTTAAATTAAGATTATAAATGGGAGACAGTGTACCATCTAAACAAATCTGAGTCACTGATTATCAGGCCAGCCAGCAGAAAGCATCTAAACAATTATATCATTGTAGTGCCCACATTATAAATATCAGTGAAACTTCCCTCCTTATGCAAATAACCTAGCAAATGCCTATCTTCAGTATAATCTACCTCTAATAAATAAAACAGCAAGTGACTAAACAAACACACAACAAAAAGTAAAATGAAAAATCTCTAAAAATCATTTTAATACCCTGATTTTTCAACAAACCCCATGGATGCTTAGGATGAAGTTTGCTGATTTGAGGATAAGAAGAAGGAGGGAGATGAGAAACAGCTTCACAGAGGAAAGACATTTAAAATGAGCCTTGAAGGTTGGACAGAGCAAGAAATGGAGGTTAGCATTTTCAGAAGAATGAGTAAAATGAGAAGGCCCAGTGGCAAAAGCTTGGGGTATTGTCATGCTCAGTAAGGAAATGATCCCCTTGACTAGAGTGGGAGTTAAGGCTGATGAAGGATCCATAATGTTAGGTACTAAAAGCTGGGGTGAGGGATGCAAACAAGATTCAACAGGCAATGAAATTCACGTGCAAGAGAATAATACATTCAGCACTCCCCCCTAGGAAGGGCATTTGGGCAGAGGTGGAGAAGAGCGAAATAGCAATATTTTTACATTGGAAAGTCATTATAGAATGCATAGACAATAGGAGGTAGAATCCATATGACTAGCAATTAGCAGAAAGAGGTTACAGTCAAGGAGAACAATGATTTAAAGATGACCCCAACACTCTGAGCCTGTGTGGCAGAAAGTACAATGGGAGGTATTAGATCATGTCATTAATGGAAACAGAGAGAGTGGGAGGAGAATGGGGCTTCATATTTTAATATAGCACAGATAATTTAATATGGCATAGATTTGTCTTTTCCGAATTAATTGCTGTGAACCCATACAATTTTGTTTCAACCACAAGAAGTCAGAAATTTAAGTCCCACATGAATTTATTCCAGAATTATTGTACTGTGATATGGATCAAGTCACAGATCCTATCCATGTTTTCTCCATCTACAAAATAGGAGCATCAGAGGCGGGGCAAGATGGCGGACTAGGCAGAAGGATTGCACAGACCCTCTTCAACAAAGAAAAGGGAAACCAATTAACACAGACAC